TGATACATTAAAAAGGATCATGCACCATAAGTTACTCCAGGGATGCAAGGATAATTCAATACATGGAAATCAATCAATGCGATATGTTAACAGAAGGAAAGGTAAGTCATTTTATCATCTCAATAGATGTAGAAAAAGCATCTGACAAAATTGAATATCCATTTATGTTAGAAATTCTCAACAAGGTGGGTACATTAGGGAATGGGGAATGTACCTTAACACAATATAGGCCATATATGACAGTCCTATAGCTAACATACTCAACGGTGCAAAGTTTAAAGCCTTTCATCTTAAGAACAGGAACAAGACAAGAATGCCCATTCTTGCCTCTGTACTGGAAGTCCCAGCTACAGAAATTAGGCAAGAAAAATAAAAAGCAGCCAAATCAGAAAGGAAGAAGTTAAACTCACTATTTGCAGATGACATGATATATATAAAAAACCCTAAAGACTCCATCAAAAAACTGTTAGAACTAAAAAATAAATTCAGTAAAGTTACACGATATAAAATTAATACACAGAAGTCAGTGGTGTTTCTAAACACTTAAGAACAAAGCTTCAGAAAGAAAACAATCCCATTAAAAAGAAAAAAAATTCCATTTACAGTCGCATCACAAAGAGTAAAATACCTATGAATAAATTTAATCAAGGAGGTGAAAGAGCTGGGCACTTAAACTGCAAGACACTGATGAAAGGAATTGAAGACACAAATAAATGGAAAGCTAGTCTGTGCTTATGGATTGGAAGAATTAATATTAAAAACTCTACACTACCCAAAGCAATCTCCAGATTCACTGCAGTAGCTCTCAAAATTTCAACAGCATACTTCACAGAATTAGAACAAATAATTCTAAAATTTGTATGGAACCACAAAAAATCCTGAATAGCCAAAGCAATCTTGAGAAAGAAGGACAAGGCAGGAAATATGCTCCCTAATTTCAAACTATACTACAAAGCTATTGTAATCAAAACCATATGCTATGTGTACAAAAACAGACAGAGATTAAATGGAACAGAACTGAATCCAGAAATAAACCCACACATATCTGGGCAATTAATCTACCACAAAGAAGCCAAAGAACACATGTAATGCAGAAAAGTCAGTTTCACTTATATGGGGAATCTCAACAAAAGGACAAACAAAATTATGGGGCGCCTGGGTGGCTCAGTCGTTAAGCGTCTGCCTTCGGCTCCGGTCATGCTCCCAGGGTCCTGGGATCGAGCCCCACATCGGGCTCCCTGCTCCGCGGGAAGCCTGCTTCTCCCTCTCCCTCCCCGCCTGCTTGTGTTTCCTCCCTTGCTTTGTCTCTCTCTGTCAAATAAATAAAATCTTAAAAAAAAAAACTTTAAAAGGACAAACAAAATTTAAAAAAAACCATAGAAAACAGACTAGTGGTTACCAGAGGAGGAGGAGGAGGAGGTCAACTGTATGGTGTCTAGATCTGTGGTGGTGGTCACTTTGTAGTGTATACAGATGTTAAATTATAAAGCTGTACACCAGAAACTTATATAATAAAGATTTATGTCATTCTTTTTAATGCTGGTCATAAATTTACACAATTGGTTTCTAATGATGATAAAAAATACCCAATTCATACATTTTTGTTAGAATTGCTGTTTTAAAATTCCTAACGCAATGCAAATGAAACAAATTACTTTAACCTTTGTTAAAGGTGCACACCAGACTTTCTGGAAAGAAAAAAATCTTAATATTAGTTATTTCCTTATCACAGCACCAGATTTCAATTTTATTTATGGTTTCTCTCTGGGACACCATTGTGTGTTCAGTAATAAAACAATAAATAAATTGCACAGGTCTGACAAAAGGAACCAGATCAAAAAGGAAATTGAATTAGCAGCAGAATCTGTTCATGTTTGGTTGCAGACTGGCGGCTGACTTGCAGGGGAAGGGGTGTCTTGATTTTGAAAAAACTTACTTCATAGTACCAGAGAATCCTTTTAAAGAGATTTGTGCATCCACTGGATTTGTACACTGTAGAAAATATCTTGCTGATTTGAAGAAGAATGAGAAGAAACCGTGCTTTTGAACCAAACTAAGCTACTCTTAGAATAATTTTTGAAGGAATGAGAAATTTGTTACCACAAGGGGAGCTTTACAGGCAAATGCAGAACATTTTTAAGATACTAAAAAGTGACAGTCACGAACCTTCCTGGGATCTCAGGAAAAATGTACCCAGAATGGAACAGGACAGTTACTGTGAAAAGCCGTGTGAGTACAGGCAGAGTCCAGAAAGGTCCCTGTAAGGAAAAAAGATCATCTTTAACAAAAAATGGAAAGGTAGCCCACCCAGGTAGGGAGAACATGGACTCCACAAGTATGCAAACCAAATCAGGCAAGACAGGAAGAATTTTAAGGCACACCTTGCAAGGACCTCCACAACCCATGGAGGATGTTCTTCATATGGTGGTGATGGTAACAAACACAGAACATCCACTCTGTGCCAGGCCATGTTCTTAGTATTAGAAGTATTATAAACACATTTACAGAAAGGAAACAACCAGCAATACTGGATTCTGTAGGACCCCTTAATAAGAGGCCCAAAAGGTACACTAAGGGGCAGTAAGGACAATTACAGAAAAATTGTTTTTTCTAAGAAAAAAAATTCTCATTCCAGATTGCTCCTAAAATGGATAAATTAATTCTCTAGATGTTCTCATCAAGATAATCAGAATATATGTAGATACACTTCTGGAATTATACTGCATCTACCCAAGATTTCTGAAGGTATCCAGGATGCTCAAAGGAGTTGGCTGAACAATACCTGGCCCCTGTTTATAAGCTTCAGAGACAAGATGCGCTGGTAAAGACCATGGAATGGTCCCATCAAGCTGGACGAGTCCAGTGAACACAGCTTACCTCTTGGGAAAACAAGTTGGTTTCTACTAGAGGAAATGGTCTCTCTCCCTAATCATATGGAACATATAGTATATGATGAATGGTTCTAACACCCTACTTTTTTGGACAAAGATGGGTCTAGAAGCCATATGGTAGGTTAAAGAAGAGACCATGAAGGACTTGGGAGCTTTCTCAAAAGATTGAAAGGCTGTGGAAGGAGGGATTAGAGCAGAACTAAGGCCACTGAGAAGATAGGTAATTTCAGCTCAGTACAAAGGGGATTTTTTTTTTTTTTTAACATCAGGGCAGTCCAAAAATGGGATGAGCTGTCTGATCACATGCCTAAACAGAAGCTGAATGATAACCTGTTAGACATGCTAAAGGAATTCTACAATGGGCAGAAGATTGGGTTTGATCTCTGGCTGTTCCCAATCTTAAAGATTCTATTATTTCATTATGTAGCATCTTTTGAGAAAGACAACAGGTATAAAGGTGACCTCAGTATAGTAAAAGTTGGAAGAATCCGAAGAAGTTCCACATTATGTTAAAAAACAACTTAGGGGCACCTGGGTGGCTCAGTTGTTAAACGTCTGCCTTCGGCTCAGGTCATGATCCCGGGGTCCTGGGATCGAGCACTGCATTGGGCTCCCTGCTCAGTTGGAAGCCTGCTTCCCCCTCTCTCACTCCCCCTGCCTGTGTTCCCTCTCTCGCTGTGTCTCTCTCTGTCAAATAAATAAAATCTTTAAAAAAAAAAAAAATTGGGGGGATGGGGATATGGAAATTTGCCTAGTTACTTGCACATGCCAGATGTCAAATACTGACTCAATGGAATGACTACAAAATAAGGTTCCCCACAGGGCACCTGGGTGGCTCAGTCGTTAAGCAGCTGCCTCTGACTCAGGTCATGATCCAGGGGTCCTGGGATTGAGCTACATGTCAGGCTCCCTGCTCAGCGGGGAGTCTGCTTCTCCCTCTCCCTCTGCCTGCTACTCTGCCTACTTGTGCTCTGTCAAATAAATAAATAAAATTAAAAAAAAATAATAAGGTTCCCCAGGAACCAATGTGAGTGCCAGGTATATTAGCATCTTTTTTGAAGGATCTGAAAGAATCTACTGTGAAGGCTACAAGTTTGGGGAGCTATAAACTGTGTTGGGAAGAAGCTGGAGGCAAGGAGCCATGGCAAAAGAGCCAGACTATAGAAAGATCTTTCAAGTCCAACAGCACTCGAGTGGGTAGACAAGCAGCAGATAATGGTCATGTAAAAAAAAAAAAAAAAAATACAAGACAGTGGGGCGCCTGGGTGGCTCAGTCGTTCAGCGTCTGCCTTTGGCTCAGGTCATGATCCCAGGGTCCTGGGATCGAGCCCCGCATCGGGCTCCCTGCTCAGTGGGAAGCCTGCTTCTCCCTCTCCCACTCCCCCTGCGTGTGTTCCTTCTCTCACTTTGTCTCTGTCAAATAAAATCTTAAAAAAATATATAAGATAATGACTTTTAGGGGAAATAATTCACAAAAATCAAGAGCTCTGAGCACTCAAACTCAGAAAGAGAATCCACTGTACTGATGTGGGCCCAAATACCCAACCAAATCAAATGTTAGGTACCACCAAGAAGGATCTCAGAAACTGGAACTAGGCAAATAATTTAGAGGAGGTTAGCTAAAATGATCACGGCCAGGGCAAGAAAAGATACCACTAAAAAAAAAAAAACCAGAATAAAAGGGCAAACTGAAAGGAGCTGTGACCAAAATCTAGAGGCCAGGGTAGATGTATTTCTTAGAAATACAAAGAAAACATGTTTAGGATGAGAAATTAAACACATTAGCCTGGGAGGAGGTACAGGCACTGAACACACACACACTCCTATAAAGTTGGATATGTTAATCCCAGGGTTGTCTGATTAAAAGTTGATTAAAGAAGGTGGTCTATTCAAGGGAGCCACACCCTCCCAAACTTTATCCCTAGAGACTGGCTGTCCTCCATTTTTAAGCTGGGTTCTGCACAGCTAGGAGCTGCTCTCCATCTTGCCAAGATTTAGGATGGCTCTCAGCTGGTTGACTGGAACTGGCACGAAGCAGGATCACATAATTGCAGATACGTTACCTTTTTTTTCCCCTTGAGTTACACGTGAAAAAAGCAAAACCAGGCATTTTTTTCTTTCTCTTTTTTAGGGGAGGTGGGTGGAAGTAAGGGTGGGACATGGCAATGTGTAGGGAGGAGAAAAATACTGTTGATAGCTCACAGGATTGCAATCAGTAGGCTTAGTTTAACATGTAAAAGGAAAATTAGTATGTTCAAAGGAATGAGGCACTCAAAGGATTGAAATGAGATTTTTCTTTGGTTCCCAGGGACCTGTCCCTGGGCTCTTCAAGGTTAGGTTCCAAAGCTATTCCTTTGGGCTCTGTGACACTCGAAGAATCTCAAAGATTTAGACTCTGGCGCCAGCTGTGCAAGCAGGTCAGTTAGGTCAACAGGTGACATTAGATGTATAAAATTAATTAGACCCAAATCTCTAGACTCAAGGGCAAGACCTATGTCCAAAAGCCCCTTCTACCTGACGAATCCAGCTGCTGGGCTTCAGTCCAGGCTATCCTCAGACTAGCTCAGAACATGACTGAGTCCTTTCTCCTTCTACTTTTCAAAAGGTTGTTGGAGAATGCAGTCCTCAGAAGGAGGGCCTGGCCTCAGTGGGAGATGCCCAGAGACTGCAGCAGGTGAAAGGTGGCCCCCAAGGCCCAGCCTGTCTCTATGTTGTTCACTTTCTTTGAGAGCTGTTGAGGAGAAAAAAAAAAAGCTCACACTGTCATCAATTTTCAACTCTAGCAAGCATGACACAGGCAGAGAGTATCTACAAAGATCATCCACATGGCCAAACCAAGGTAAAATTTGGGGTAGCCAGTCTTGGGAGGCTTCCCACTAGCCCCTCTGTAACAGTTTCCCTCCTGTCGTGGCTTACACCTGCCAATCTGGCCTCTGAATCTTCTGGCCCAGGAAGTGGTCTCACCCAGGCCTTCTAGACAGAGGCTTCTGAATTCTTTCCCTAATCCTGGAACTAAATACACGAGTTGGGAATAGATTTAGGGGTAGCAAAGAATATACGAAACTTGTCAATTCATACTCTGTAAACAACCAAAACTTCTTAAGCACTAATTAATAACCAATCAAGGCATTTAAGGCCTTCTAGACAGGTTGCGCCTCATAGTTCAGTAACTTTGGGCAAGTGTTTAGACCGGTTTCCTCCACTACATAACAAACAGATTAGGTCAGTATTTATCAAATTGTTTTCTTTAGACTCTTAGGAGTTCTTGAAAGTGCTTTGGAGGAGAAAGGGAGGCCAAATGCTAAAGGAGTTCCAGGCCCCCTTCCTCTTTGGAAATTTGCTTAGTTACTTCCTCTGTCTGGTCTTCCACCAGACAGCTCCATTTTGATCAGCTTTACCAGCCTTCTGTGTAAGCTTCTGTGGAACGATGCCACCACTGATCACACCACACACAAGTTTGGAAACCAGTGGACTGGATTTAGTCTTTCTTTCTGGAACTAATTTCTTATGATACAATACTCCTGTGGTGACCTGATGAAATCTACGTTAGGCACTGTATCAAAAACTGGGAAGAATGGCATGTGAACGTCACCTTGAGATTTAGTCTGCAGCACATGAGTCAAACTGGGAGTGCCGCCCCCACTCCCAAATGCTCCTCTGCCCTCAAGACTGGGCTGACAGCCCGGAGTAAATAAGTTGAAGTGAAGTGACCTCTGGGCCAGGGAACTGCCTGTCACTGAATTTAATTCTGCTACCATTGAAATGATAAAGATGAAAAGGATGCCAGCACTGGAAATGGCAGAAAACGGTCTTTAGATGATGTGGTTACTGTTGATCCTTAAGTAGAGGAAGTTAACTTTGTATGTATTAAGGACTTAGGATGACCTTTCTTATCCACAAATCTATCCCCAACTGGTGTGAAATGCCTACACTAATATTGCCAAGACTAATAACTTACTACGTGCCAGCATTGTGCTTTACATACAGTATCTCAATTTTCCTAAAAGCCCTATGAAATAGGTATGCTAAAGATCCCTAAGTTTGGATGAGAAACCTCAAAGTTAGACAGGGGAAGTAAATCATTTAAGGTTACAGAGCTGGTAAGCTCGCAGACTCAGAACGTGAACCCAGATGTGATGGACAATGGAGCCGTCCTTTAAATATATGTGATACTGGGGCGCCTGGGTGGCTCAGTTGGTTAAGCAACTGCCTTCGGCTCAGGTCATGATCCTGGAGTCCCGGGATCGAGTCCCACATCGGGCTCCCTGCTCAGCAGGGAGTCTGCTTCTCCCTCTGACCCTCCCCCCTCTCATGTGCTCTCTCAAATAAATAAATAAAATCTTTAAAAAAAAATAAAATAAATAAATAAATAAATATATGTGATACTGAGTCTACTGGCATGTGAGTCCTTGTTAAGCACCTTAAATGCCGATATTCTTATCGGACAAACGCGTTAAATCCAAATACCTCAGTGCAAAGTTTATGAGTTTACAAAATCTGTGCAACACAAGAAAGGGGGCAATGTAAACTCATCTGGAAGTGGGGAAACAGGAAGGGGAAGTGGCACGAGCAAGGGCACTTCAAAAACAAAGTAGAGTCTACCTACTTGACTCCAGAGTTCAAAGTTGCCTGTGCCATACTTGTATTTCTTTATTATGTTATGTTAATCACCATACATTACATCATCAGTTTTTGATGTAGTGTTCCATGATTCACCATATTTGTATTTCTGTCACATCTCCTCTAAGAGACTATATGCTATTTGAGGATAAGACCGTATCTTAATTATCTTTGTAACCATAATGTACAGTTATCCAATTGTGGTACAGATGACAACAACGTAAATGGGGTGGACGGAACATAAAAGATGTGTTTAGAATAGATAAATAATTTCCTACAGATCAAGTAGAGCCTGCATGTGCTGAAAAGGATGGACAAAACAGGAAGACAAAGAGGGACCCAAGATTCAAGGGACACTAAACATATGAGACACATATAAAATACATAAGACCGGGCGCCTGGGTGGCTCAGTCAGTTAACCGACTGCCTTCGGCTCAGGTCATGATCCTGGAGTCGCGGGATCGAGTCCCGTATCGAGCTCCCTGCTCGGCAGGGAGTCTGCTTCTCCCTCTGACCCTCCCCCCTCTCATGTGCTCTCTCAAATAAATAAATAAAATCTTTTAAAAAAAAAAAAAAGGGCGCCTGGGTGGCTCAGATGGTTAAGCGTCTGCCTTCGGCTCAGGTCATGATCCCAGGGTCCTGGGATCGAGTCCCGCATCGGGCTCCCTGCTCCTTGGGAACCTGCTTCTCCCTCTGCTTCTCTCTCTCTCTCTCTCCCTCTGTCTCTCATGAATAAATAAATAAAATCTTTAAAAAAAAAAAAAAGACTAAAATACATAAGACATACTACAAATACACAAGGCATTCAACACTATTGAGAACTTGAATAAGCCACTCACTGGTGACACCCTTTTGTCCTCTGCCAAATAAAACCATCTAATGGGCTAATGAGTGTACCTGCCCCTGTGCCTCTCCAAACTGAGCAAATTTGTCCGATGGCCACAGGCACCTTCTGTCCCTGTACCCCCTTGATCAGCTCTAGTACTTATAACTACACTATCAGCAGCAGAGAGAGAGGCAGGACATATGAACCCAGGATTTAAGAAGTATGGCACTTCCAACCTGCCTGCACCCTATCCTGTGTGTTCCTAACCCATTTCTTCCCTTTGCTTCTTGCCCTGAGTTTTGAACTTGCTTTAATAAACCATGTGACTTGGGCACCTTGATTTGGATGTAAGCCTTTCTGCTCGGTGACCCCTGGGATAGCGTGCCTGGGAATATACTTAGAAGCTACCATTACATCAAGCTAATTTCCCACATTCATGGTATCTTGCACAGCGCTTTGCCCACATCCCTAATAAAAATCCCGCATAATTCCACCTGCAGCCACTCTGATTACTACACAAGTGCTTTTCCTAATTCCCAGAGAAGTGGACCGTTTTGTGATTCTCTCTTACCTGTAAGATGGTACTGTCTGCAAAGCCAAAGCCGTCCTTCAACAGGGCTGTGATGTAACTGAGATCCATGCACAGGAAAGGACTGCCTGAGGTGAAGTTTTCCAAGTTATCACACACTGAAAGGGAGGAAGAGTGGAATCCAAGTTTGCAGCCAACTGGCAGGTGTACGATTTCCTCTAAACATAGACTTAGGATAAGCAAAGCAGAATTCTCCATGTGGTTGATGCCAGGGAGTCGTGAAGACTAGAACTGTGTGCACTGACAGCCCCCGCAAGACCACAGCCTCTTGCACATTTCAGATATCCCATCTTACCCACTCAGATGGACCTGGGATCCTAGTTTATTTATTTTATTTTATTTATTTGTCAGAGAGGAAGAGGGCACAAGCAGGGAGAATGGCAGGCAGAGGGAGAAGTAGGCTCCCCACTGAGCAGGAAGCCCCATGTGGGACTCAATCCCAGGACCCTGGGATCATGACCTGAGCCAAAGGCAGACGCTTAACCGACTGAGCCACCCAGGCGCCCCTGGGATCCTAGTTTATTTGCTAAATTTCTATAACCTATTGTTGGGGCTTAATTCAACTAAGTCCCTTATATATTATTAATATTGAGGCCCAGAAGACCTGGAAATACCAGTTAACCCTACTTTGGGGCCCATGGCCAAGATCATTTATTTGTATTTCCAGGAACTCTCTCAAGCAGGCCTCTGTGGCTATTTCCCATGTATTTTGGTGCTGTTTCATTAACACTGATAACACTATTTCAATTTTTTTTAAAAAAGGAAGACCACCATACATAAAAATAAACTCAAAATAGATTAAATACCTCAATGTGAGACCTGAAACTATAAAACTCCTAAACGAAAATAGGCAATAATCTCTTGGACATCGGCCTTAGCAACATATTTATGGATATATCTCCCCAGGCAAGGGAAACAAAAGCAAAATTCAACTATTGGGACTACATCAAGATAAAAAGATTTTGTACAGCAAAGGAAACCATCAACAAAATAAAAGGGCAACCTACTGAATGGGAGATGTTTGCAAATGGTATGTCCGATAGGGGTTGATATCTAAAATGTATAAAGAACTTACACAACTCAACACCAAAGAAAAAAACAATTCTATTAAAGAAATGGGCAAAGGCACTACATTTATGGTAACTTGTTATCACAGCAATAGAAAACTGATACAACTTTTCTTTAGTGACTATTTAATATTTAGACATTAATTTTTGAATATAAAATGTTAATTTTTAGGACCATTTTATATGCTAGTGTTATTAACCTTTACCTATTTTATATGCTACAAATAATGTCTCCAAGTTTATTATTCCACCCATTAACTTTGTAGATGATGTCTTCTCCCATATGCAAGTTTTGTCAACCTTCAACTTCTACCACCATTTTTAACGCATTCTCAATCTTGAAACTTGTCTAAAGAATAATCTAATTTTAGGGATGCCTGGGTGGCTCAGTCAGTTAAGCGTCTGCCTTCGGCTCAGGTCATGATCCCAGGGTCCTGGGATCAAGTCCCGCATCGGGCTCCCTGCTCCGCAGAGAGTCTGCTTCTCCCTCTAGCTGCCACTCCCCCTGCTTATGCTCTCCCCTCCCCCAAAATAAGTAATTTTTTTTGAAGTGAAGTGAAAGTTTAAGTGAAGGTGAGAACAGAAAGAAAAAAAGCTCTCTAGAGTGAAAGGGGTCCCGAATGGGTTACCCTAAATAAAATCTTAAAAAAAAAAATCTAATTTTATTTTTTAAAGATTTTTACTTATTTGTGAGAGAGAGAGAGCATAAGCACAAGCAGGGGGAGTGGCAGGCAGAGGGAGAAGCAGGCTCCCTGCTGAGCAAGGAGCCAGACGTGAGACTCGATCCCAGGACGCTGGGATCATGCCATGAACTGAAGGCAGACACTTAATCGACTGAGCCACCCAGGTGTTCCAGAATAATCTAATTTTTTTTTTTTAAAGATTTTATTTATTTGACAGAGAGAGCACAAGCAGAGGGAGAGAGAGGGAGAAGCAGGCTCCCTGCTGAGCAAGGAGCCTGATGTGGGACTCGATCCCAGGACACTGGGATCATGCCATGAGCCAAAGGCAGCCGCTTAACCAACTGAGCCACCCAGGCGTCCCCAGAATAATCTAATTTTATACACATGTATTCATACTTCCATATAATAATTTTCAAATGTTTAAAATTTATGTTTTAGGGGTGCCTGGGTGGCTCAGTCAGTTAAGCGTCCAACTCTTGATTTCCACTCAGGTCACGATCTCAGGGTCGTGAGATCGGGCCCGCGCTGGGCTCTTCACTGGGTGTGGAGCCTTCTTAAGATTCTCTCTCTCCCCCTCTTCCTGTGCCCCACCCTCCTCTCTCCCTCCCTCCCTAAAAAATAAAATTGATGTTTTAATATTTCATGCAATACGTGAATTGTACAAAAAAAGTATAATTTGCTTACATTATCCACTGTAGGAAATAAATCTGAAGTATTTAAAAAAAAAAATGGGCAAAGGACCTGAATAGATATTTTTCCAAGGAAAACATGCAGTGGCCAACAGACACATGGAAAGATGCTCAACATCACTCATCATCAGGGGAATGCAAATCAAAACCACAATAAGGTATCACCTCACACCAATCAGAATGTCTAGTATCAAAAAGAAAAGAAATAACAAGTGTAGGTGAGGATGTGGAGAAAAGGGAACCCTTGTGCTGTGCAAACTGGTGCAGCCACTGCAGACAACAGTATGGAGATTCCTCAAAAATGAAAAATAGAAATACCATATGAGTGAGGTCAGATGATACATGTCTTTCTCTGATTGACTTACTTCGCTCAGCATAACACCCTCCAGTTCCATCCACGTCGTTGCAAATGGCAAGATCTCATATGTTAAGAAAAAAAAAAAGACGATAGCAGGAGGGGAAGAATGAAGGGGGGGAAATCGGAGGGGGAGACGAACCATGAGAGACTATGGACTCTGAAAAACAAACTGAGGGTTCTAGAGGGGAGGGGTGTGGGGGGACGGGTTAGCCTGGTGATGGGTATTAAAGAGGGCATGTTATGCATGGAGCACTGGGTGTTATACGCAAACAGTGAATCATGGAACACAACATCAAAAACTAATGATGTAATGTATGGTGATTAACATAACAATAAAAATTAAAAAAAAAAAAGGGGAAAAAAAAAAGAAATACCATATGATCCAGTAATTCTACTACTGCCTATTTACCCCAAGAAAATGAAAACACTAATTCAAAAAGATATAAGCACCCCTGTGTTTATTACATTATTTATAATAGCCAAATTATGGAAGCAGCCCAAGTATCCATTGATAGATGAATGGATAAAGACGACGTGGTGTTATGTGTATGTATACATAATGTACATTATACATACATTGTATAATATGTAATATACATATCATTATATATTATGTATACACACACATCTTCTATACATATGTATACATAATACACACACACACACACAAAATGTGTATTATGTATACTACTCAGCCATAAAAAAAATGGTATCTTGTCACTTGTTATGATGTGGAAGGATCTAGAGGGTGTTATGTTAAGTGAAGTTCAGTCAGACAGAGAAAGACAACTACCATATGATTTCACTTATACGTGGAACCCTCCCCCAAAAACGAAACAAATGAACAAAGAAAAAACCAGACTCTTAAATAGAACAACTGGTGGTTGCCAGAGGGGGGATGGGGAGGGGGATGGGAAAAATAGGTGAAGGAAATTAAGAGGTACAAACTTTCAGCTGTAAAATAAATAAGTCAGAGATGGAAAGTACAGCATAGGGAATATAGTCAGTAACATTGTAATAATATTGTATGGCGAAAGATAGTGACTATGTTATCATGCCGAACACTGGGTAATATATAGAATAGTCAAATCTATATGTTGTACACCTAAAACTGATATAACATTGTATGTCAATTATACTTCAATAGAAAAAAAAAAGGAAGAAAGAAAGAAATGAAGAAAGAAGAAAAGGTTTTCACCATCTCCCCAAAGCCTCTTGTATTCCCACAGATTTCTATGCCACTTAATGCTTTTAATTCCGGGCAAAAACAAGAAACCAGCCTTCTGGGAGGCTTTCTGCTGACTGCAGTGCTTTGGGTCACTTTCAGGTCACTGCAGTTCGCAGGCACAGATGCATGGACTCGCCTTCATGGGCTTCCACTGGCACTTACCTTCCCTTGCTTTTCTTTCAAAATCTTCAACTTTTAAAACACCCCCTGTTTCATAATCTAAAATGAAACAGTAGCTAATATCAAAAAACCTTCAAGGAAACAAGGAAATTCATCTTAGTGCTATTTATAATAATGAAAAACCGGAAGTAAAATTTCTAACATTACAGAATGGGCTAAACAAACATGACATAGCCATATAATATAATCTATGTAGTCTATTTTATTAATAATTATTCTATGTATATTTAACCACAATAAAAAAATTCACCTGTTATAAATATAGAAAATAGGGTATTAATTCATATCTCAGGCCATCACAGATCACACACATACATTCACAGCTAACAAAAAGCATTACTATTGTGATAAGGAAATAAAAGTTATCAAGGGGGAGTAAGAAACTTTTTGGGGTAATGGACATATTATTTGACTTTGGTGATGGCTTAATGGGTATACACCTATGTCAAAACTTAGTAAATTGTACACTTTAAACATATTTTATTTTATATCAGTTATACCTCAATAAAAATATAAAAAAATAGACTTCATATGTGTCTCTTTATGCCACTTTCTAGCAAAAGATTCTAAATCATATTCACCCTTCCACTGCAGCAATTATCATTCAACAGCCAGCACTGGAGAAGAGTAGTGTGATCACTTATGACAAAGCATTTCAAATGCTCCTCTTCTCCCTTTCCCTTCCCCAGGACAGCTTTGCCCGGTTCCCTCCCCAGGCTGATTCCTGGAGTAAACTTACCAATCATGTCCGTGTCAACAGCACGATCATAATAGTAAGAGAAAGCGTAGAAGGAGCTCTTCTGGACCTCATCTGGCTGGTGAAGTTTTCCTTGGACCACCCTTAGCACTTCAGCATAGCAGGGCTCAAAGCCCATCTCTCCTGCCATGGCAAAGGTGAGAAAAATGAAAGCTCGCTGAGGCAAGCTGTTAGGAGCCAACAAAGAAACAACAGGAGGATCAAGGAAAGCAGAATGTTGAGGCTCAGGACAAAGGGCTGACAAAGATGAACAAACTTCCATAGCCCTGTCACTCTGGAGGAAAGGCACCTGCTTCCCCATGGCAGCTTCCCTCCCGAACCTGTGTTCACCAAAAATAGCCATATCCAACTCAAGCTGCTGCCTAGCCTATGTCCCATGGTATTTATAAGAAGCATCCAGAAGTCTCACCGCTTCCTTCACTGGAAAAATTGAGATTTTTCCTTGATTTTAAGGTCTTTGCTTTTTATAATACCAAGATGAATTATTCTTTCTAATGTCTCAGTTTTAAATGTTACTATAATTTTAAAAAGCTAAACATTAATGGAATCTATAGAGTTTCTAGACAGAGTTTCTCCTTGCGGAGGGCAGAGACCCTTAAAGCATTAGACCCAGGTTAAGAACAGGTTTCTAATGGATCCACAACACTTGGGCAGGGAAAGAGCAGGACAGAGGGATGATTGCCTTGTTCGCTGTCATTTCACATTATTCCTCTACTGCATACCAAGATCTATTTGGAATGAGTCCCCGCAAAAGACAAGCTTGTCTTGAGTTCTGGAAAACATTTCCCATGGAACTTTTCCGGACTTCTACTGTAAAGGTAATTTCAACCAGTGAAAAAACATCGCTTGCCTTCTTTGTTGCCACCATACTGGTATTTCACACCCCCAAAGATCCAATCCGCTTCCAACCATCTTGGTAGACAGGCACTTCGGAAAGTGTGTCCATCAATCCCTGAAAGAAGCCAGACCACAGAGTAAGAGGCAAGGATTTGAGAGAGGGTGTGTACAAGAGTGACAGAGACACACACGCATACACGCACACATGCACACATCCATGCAAGCAAGAAGCCAGTCAAGTTAAAAGGAATTACCAAAAAGTAGGTAGTTCCATGACTTCATCCTATGACAGGAATTCTTTTTTTATTTTTTTTTAATAATTTTTTTTATTGTTATGTTAACCACCATACATTACATCATTAGTTTTTGATGCAGTGTTCCATGATTCATTGTTTGTGCATAACACCCAGTGCTCCACGCAGAACGTGCCCTCTTTAATACCCATCACCAGGCTAACCCATCCCCCCACCCTATGACAGGAATTCTTAACTCAGGGTTCACAGATGGGCTTTGTGGGGTTGGTGAACCCTCTAAAACTACAGATAAGTTGTTGTGCATCTGTGCATTTGGCAGAGGGGTCCATGGCTTTCATCACATCTCAAAGAAATCCAAAACTTACAATGGAATAAGTTCCTTCCTGCCTAAAAAAAGGGAAAAAATACTGTTCTACTTTTCTCATTGGTTGTTGTGAGGCTTAAATGAAATACATTTGAAGATGTTTTGTAAACTCTGAAATGCTATACAATCATCATCACAATAAGAGTTTACTGTGAGCCGGGCACCGTAAAAAGTATATTAAATGCAAACTCTCACATAAGGTGAGGAAAGGGGCACAGAAAGGTTAGCTAACTTGCCCCAAATCACAAAGTGGGACTGAACCCAGTTCTGCCTGACCCCAAAAGCTGAGCTCTTAACTGCTCTACCACCATTGAAGAGATGAATAAAGTTGCTCAGTCACTCCACCTTGCAAGTGGACTGATGTTGCTTCCTGTACCTCCCATGTACAACTAAGGGCTTGAGCAAACTTCTGCCACATTCACTCTTGGAGTTTTGAATTTCTGTAGCAGCCTCCTGGTCACAGGTGTTGCCCCTATATACAGACTTCATTCTAGAAATGGCTAATAATGTATACTAAGACAACAGAACGCAACATAAAGTAGAAAAAGAATCTGCTATTATCATGTCTATTATACAATACATGCTTCCTAAATCAGCATAACCCTTTCCTCCACAGAATCACTGTGAAGGAAGGGGAAAGGCAAGCTGCGTATGGGTGTCACTCTCACCACACCCCAACCAGCACAGGTACCAGACGAACCTTCTGTTTCCAGGGCTCCCAAGGTTGCTAGTCTTGCAGCTTTCAATCCAAATCCCAAGTAACTGTAAAATACAGGATTGACTAATTTCATGCTGGTCCTGAAGTTCTCCAGCCTAAAGCTATCTCTTTCAAAAGCAGTATGGTTTCTCTGTCTCCCACTGGAGAAGGGAAAACCTTGTTCTCTGTGACCTCTTCATCTTGTGTGAACAAGTGGTAATTCCTGCACAGTTCAGATCAAGGCCATCCAGAACTTTCCATGCCTATGATTTAAAGGCCAGAGCCAGTGACACTTTCTAGGATCCCACCTTGGGAACCATGCCCAGAAAAGCTCTCATTACTTTAGCTTCCAGGCCCACTGTGATCAAATCCAAGGATGGACTCTGAACATCTGAAAGCAAACTCAAAAGGAGTTGGCAGAGATCTTTGGCTGAAGATTCTCCAAGTGTCCTCTCACTACAGAAAACTTTTTTTAAGTTTATTTATTTGTTTATTAGGGGGAAGAGAGAGAGAGAGTGCAGGGGGGAGAGAGAGAGAGAATGAGTGGGTGGGAGCGACAGAGGGAGAGGGAGAAGCAGACTCCCTGCTGAGCAGGGAGCCTGCCTGGGGCTCAATCCCAGGCCCCTGGGATCATGACCTGAGCCCTGAGCCGAAGACACTTAACTGACTGAGCCACCCAGGCGCCCCTCTCTAGAGAAAACTTTTGACCCTTTAAGTTCTATACTTTTGAGGCCATGAATGGAGAAACCCCTTGGGTCCTTGGGCTTTGGTAAGTGGCTTTGGTTTCAGTCACCAGACCTTTGGGGGTTGGCAGAGACTTTGTAAGGCTAGTCAGATACAATAACAGATGTGAAAATGCTTTGAAAAGTTAGGAGAATCATGCAACAAGAAATATTATTCCTCCCTGTCCCCCTCCTCACCTATGTGTATAGAGCTTGAAAGTGCTATTAAACATCTCAAATGAAGTGAGGTAGCCCTGAGGTGTTTGTTCCAGGGTTTTCTGCAAATCAGAAAGAGCAAAAAGACTATTCAGGATCTGCAACTGTCTGGAGGTGTTACCACCACCATCCCTGTCCCTCCCCCAAAAAAATCAGAGAGGAAAGAGACAGACTAAGCTGCTGATCTCACAAGGCTGGAGGAATCAAAGGGACTCTGAGCAGTGGGGGGGCCAGGGGAAGCACACCCAGTCATTAACTGACTCCACTCAACCTATTTGTGGCGGAGCTACTGTCTGAAAATGGGGCCCCACTTTCTTGGCACCATGATATGCCTGCCAAGTGGGCTGCTAACCAGCCTTCGTGTAAATAACTCACCTCAAACTGGGGTAGGAACGTAATTTGGGTGGAGGCCCCCCCCAGGTCCAGGGTCCCCACAGTCTCCTGGCTGTGGCCATGCAGCTGACCTGTGAATGAGAGCCAGCTCTGAATATCTTCTGCTTCCAGGACAGCCCAACACTCCTCTGTCTGCAATCTCTTTCCTGCTCTTGTTGTATACTGCAGGTGTTCCATTAACACTCCACTGCTCCCCAGCCCCGGAGGCTGTACGTGAGTGCTAACCTACAGGGACTCTTGGGGCAGCTAAGGCCTTGAAGACAGGGTATAAACATTAACTTCCTATCTTTTCCTTCCCTTTTTTTTTTTTGTTTAAACACAGTACAAGCAAAAGGGTTATTTACTCTTCGACCCTGTATGAAACCCAGTTAATGTCTTAGAATAAGCTTGAGAATGTATTACCTGTCAGAAAATTCACAGTAACCCAAGCTAAGATGCCTGAAAGAGAGAGAAAAACAGGGATTACATCTCAGGGCATTTTCCCCTGATCTTCCTTGACCTTATTTTTGGTCTTTTTCTCTAAAATTTTGTGTCTATGGGCACCTGGGTGGCTCAGTCGTTAAGTGTTTGCCTTCGGCTCAGGTCGTGATCTCAGGGTCCTGGGATCGAGCCCCGCGTTGGGCTCCCTGCTCTGTGGGGAGCCTGCTTTTCCCTCCCCCACTCCCCCTGCTTGTGTTCCCTCTCTCGCTGTCTCTCTGTCAAATAAATAAATAAAATCTTTAAAAATAAATAAATAAAAATAAAAATAAAATTTTTATCTCAAACACACATTTTCCTTCTCCCTGTCCTTCCATTTTCTCTTAGCCCATCCCTCCTGGCTTTTTGCTTCTCCTTATTTAGTTCCTTTTACTTCAGCACCCCATCCCTGTTCCCAGTTCTTTTATTATTTTAAGGCACCCCTTTATTTTTTTTTAAAGATTTTTAAAAATTTATTTATTTGACAGAGAGAGACATAGCAAGAGAGGGAACACAAACAGGGGGAGTGGGAGAGGGAGAAGCAGGCTTCCCGCGGAGCAGGGAGCCCGATGCGGGGCTTGATCCCAGGATCCTGGGATCATGACCCGATCTGAAGGCAGACGCTTAACGACTGAGCCCACCCAGGCGCCCCTGTTCCCAGTTCTTTTAATCAAATCTTTTATTAATCCTGGCCCTCTCCCCTCAGAACATGTATTAACACCTCTCCCACCTTCATAGGATCCGTCCATGATGCTAACACTGTCATCTGGTACCAGGAAAGGTGATTTCTTGAAGATTTCTCTTACCTAAAGAAAAAGGGAAAACGTCTGGATTCCCTAAGGCAATAAAGAAGATTTCCGTATTTTGGCTATATCTTATTAAGGCTTAGAAAACTACACTCTTCATTTCCCTAGATAAAATTTTAGAACATTGCTTTTCCCTAAAAAACTAGAGAAGGAACTACACAAGCCATTACTGGTTTCTTGTAAAAACAAAAAACACAGGGATTCCTCTGACTTTAAAATAAATCTCAACCAAACTACTGAAATTTATAGGTGAACTGGATCTAGGAAAGGGCATACATTTGAACCCTTCCAGCTCAAACCCTCCTGTTATTGTTTTTTTAAAAAACCTTATTAATCCTGCCTGAGCACGAAGCTAGGACAACCCTTTCCCACTTCATTTCTTAGATGACAAAATACACAGATGGTAGAGAAGAGTTGGGACTGGGCAGCTCCTAAGGCTATAGAAACATTTCTTCTACTCTCACACCAAATTCTGCAGGTCTTTGCCCTTGCTCATAAATGGGGCTCATGTCTGTAGTCTGGGGTACTCTGCTGTCAGTCCCTGTTAGATTCAAGCACATGGCTGAGGCCTCATGAGTCCACAGAGACCCCAGATCTAGATTTATTTATCCTATTTTAGGAGATGGGAATGAACATCTCACACATCCTTGACTCTCCATAAATGTAGGTCAGTGACATGGGTGTTATGTCTTATTTTTTAATATGATTATCATGAGGCAAGGGGGAGACTTTCCAAACAGGAATAGAAGGAACTCTGGTCTGCTGGCTGTTCTCATTCCTGATAGGATGAAACACTTCATATGATGACCTCTGGACTCTGTTTCATCCAGGAAAAGCCAGTTAAGTGATCTATAAGTTAGTTTTTAAAGAGAAGACAGATAAGCAAACAGGAATAAACACAAAGAGTTTCTGCTCTTGCCTTCTCCATTCTTCTCCCCTGACCACAGTTTATTCTTAATACAGCAACCAGACTGGTGCTTCTTTCTTTTTTTTTTTAAAGATTTATTTTTATTTATTTTAGAGAGCGAGTGTGTCCACGTGTTGGTGGGGGAGAGGGAGAGGGAGAGAATCTCAAGCTGACTCCCTACTGAGCACAGAGCCCAAAGCTAGCTCAACCCCACAACCCTGAGATCATGACCTGAGCCATGAGGTCGGATGCCCAACCAACTGAACCCCCCAGGCACCTGCCCCTTTTTTTAGTTAAGTAGGCTCCACACCCAGCATGGAGCCCAAAGCAGGTCTTAAACTCACAACCCTGAGATCAAGACCTGAGCTAATAGTTGGACACCTAACCAACTGAGCCATCCAGGCACCCCCAGAGTGGTGCTTTTAAAACAGATGTCAGATCCTGCCTCTCAGCTCAAGACCCTCCAGTGACTTCCTTCTTAGAGAAAAAGCCAAAGTCCTTACACTTGCCTTTAAGGCCCTACATGATAAACCCCTCACATCTCTCTGACCTCATCTCCTACTTCCCTTCCATTACTTACTTGCCTTCCAGCTGCACTGACCTCCTGGATACTGTTCCTTGAACATGCCAAGCACATTTCATGCTCTAGGCCTTTGTACCTGCTATTTCTTTTGCGTGGAATATTCTTCCTATAAATGTCTTGTATAGCTTGCTTCTTTATTCCTTTCAGGCCTCTGATCAAATGCATCTCATCAATGAGGTCTTCCCCGACCATCCTATTTAAAGCAGTATCCCTCCACACCACCACCAGCATTCCCTAGCTGACTTCCTCTGCTTTTCTTTCTCCAACTCATCTACAGTACCTGACATACTTTGCGGTGAGTTGTCTAGTTTTCTGTCTGCTTGCAACTAGAATGCAAGCTCTACCACGACATAGACTGTCATTTTTTTTGCTCCCTGCAGCATGTCCCCCAGAACTTCACCAGTGCCCAGTACGTAGTAAGCACTCATATGCTGAATAAATGAATAAATGCATAAATGAATGAGGAATCAGGATTCAGATTCTCATGCAGACATGCTAGGCAGCTTGTTCTTGGAGAAGGGACTAAGGCCCTCTGTGCTGATAGTCAAAGGAAAATGGATTTTGGGCTCTGAATTAGCACACTTATAATACAGAATCATTTTTTGCTGTGATTTTTTAAAAAAGATTTTATTTATTTACTTGAGAGAGAGCACGCACACATGGGTAGGGGCAAAGAAGGAGGGAGAAGGAGGGGGAAAGAGTCTCGAGCAGACTCCTCACTGAGCGCAGAGGCCCACTCGGGACTCGATCCTATGGCCCTGAGATCATGACCTGAGCCAAAACCAAGAGTTGGACTCTCAACCAACTGAGCCACCCAGGCGCCCCAACTGTGATTTCTGTTATAGTGGGATCCCACCTATAAATATTCTTCATAATATGTAATTTAAATCTTATTAGTTTACATGCTTTTGCAAAATAAATGTTCAGTAATGTTAACAATTTTGAGTTTAAAAAAGCTTCCTAAATTTTTTATCTGAACAAGAAGTTGAAATGGACATACAAATGACCAAGAGACACATGACAAGATGCTCAACAACTCTCATCATCAGGGAAATGCAAATCAAAACTACAATGAGATATCATCTTATACCTGTCAGAATGGCTAAAATCAAAAACACAAGAAACAACAAGTGCTGGGGAGGATGTTAAAGAAAAGAGGGGGAATCCTCATGCACTGCTGGTGGGAACGAAAACTGGTGTAGCCACTGTGGAAAACAGTATGGGGGCTCCTCAAAAAGTTAAAAATAGAACTACCCTACAATCCAGTAATTGCACTACTGGGTATCTATCCAAAAAATACAAAAAACACTGATTAAAAGGGATACATACACCCCTATGTTTATTGTAGCATTATCTACAATAGCCAAACTATGGAAGTAGCCCAAGTGTCCTTCAACAGATGAATGGATAAAGAAGATATGGTATATATAAACGATGGAATATTACTCAGCCATAAAGAATAAAATTTTGCCATTTGCAACAACATGGATGGAGTTAGAGAGTATAATGCTAAGCATAGTAAGTCAGAGAAAGACATACCATACAATCTCACTCACATGTGGAATTTAAGAAATAAAACAGAGACAAACAAAAAAAAAACCAGACTCTTTAACTATAAAGAACAAACTGATGGTTACCAGAGGGGAGGTGAGGGGGCATGGGTGAAATAGGTGATGGGGATTAAGAGTGCACTTATCATGATGAGCCCTGAGTAATGTTCAGAACTGCTGAATCACTAATACTGTACACCTGAAACTAGTATAACACTGTATGTTAACTACGCTGGGATTAAAATAAAAAATTTAATTAAAAAAATACTTATGCTGAGAGAAAAAAAGTCAGATGTAAAAAAAAAACATAAACTGTGTAATTACATTTATATGAAACGTAAGAACATGGTAGAAAGCAGATCAGTGGTTGCCTGACTTCAAGCGAGGGGGGACTGACTGCAAAGGGGTACAAGGAAACTTCTGTATTTGTCAAAATTCATTTAACTGTACGCTTAAAATGCACACATTTTAAGTTCTACCTCAATAAAGTGGGCTAAACATAATTTCTGTGATTATGCTTTAACAAATTAGGAGAATTAAGAACCCCATGGACAGAAAGTACTTTAAACTTCTTTAGGAAAAGCTGTATAAATTCAAGAGTAACATTTAAAAATGTAAGTAAGTAGCTAGAATAAGTGCCCAGTTACCCCAGTGCTTTAGCAATGGTGGAATACTAAAGGTAGCAGTCACATACCAGAGAGCTAAAAACCCACGAAGAAAATATTCACATAGGGAAAAAGAATCATCCAAGATGCAAAGGACTTCAAAAATTACCTCAAAGAGCAGAGCCTGGGCTTTCTGTTCTGGCAGTAGGCGCAGTCCCGCTGTTGCCTTCAGGACCACTGGGGTTCTCTTCCAGTGACTTCGGGGGATTGAGTCTTTCGCCACCTCTAAGAGTCCTTGAACAGTCTCAGCACCCTTCAAAAAAGATGACCTACTCATCCAGTGAAAAGTCATTTAGGGGCACTTGTCTCTTCCCTCAACATGTTCTGGGGGATATTAAGAGTGAGGCAGTAGAGGGCTCCAAGCACATTCTGCTCTGTAGAAGAAACCCAGAAAAGTAGGCTTCTTTGAAGGAAAATCCATTTAATTTTGATTAATAACAAAAATGATTCTGTCATAGCATGGTCATTTTAACTGGCTGTTATTTTGTGCCTCATAAATTAGCTTTAGGCCAGAAAGTTGGGTACAGTGAAGAAAACACTGGATGTGGAGTTAGAAAAGACTTGCTTGCTAGCCCTGTGGCTTAACAGAGGGGCTTGGTTTCCTCCTTATATATATATATATGAGGGAGATACACCTCATACCACTACAAAACTGCCGAGTGCATTAGATGAGGCAGAGTGTGTATACTTGCCACACAAATGCTGGTGTAGCTGTTGTGCTACGGTTTTTATGATCTCTGTAAGGACAGAACACGTCAGGTTCATATTTGCATCACCAGCACCTACACACACAGTACACAGCAGATATTAAATTTATGAAACTAAAAACCATTATTTTAAATCCACTGTTTCCCTGAGTGAACATCTAATCTGACAACACGCTGCCTCTAAATTATTATAATTATTAGCTACCACAACACAGTCTTCTCTACATGTCAAATCAGTTTCTGATAATGTAGTTGCTTTCAACAGCTCCTAATTTTCTCATGTATTTACCGTTTCACAACAGTGAGCTGAGAAAATAAACATCTCAGTTCTTCAAGTTCAAGCCATTTTTTTCTTAGGTTATATTTTTAAGTAATCTTTATACAGAACATGAGGCTTGAACCCACAACCCTGAGATCAAGAGTTGCATGTTCTACCGGCTGAGCCAGCCAGGTGCCCCAGGACATTCCCCCCCCTCAAACTAATTTTTTTTTAAATAATTTTTTACTGTTATGTTAATCACCATACATTACATCATTAGTTTTTGATGTAGTGTTCCATGATTCATTGTTTGTGCATAACACCCAGTGAACCCAAGCTATTTTTAATACAAGGTTTTCCTTTGGTTAATGATTATGCTTGTAACACGGAACAATACCTTTAAATTTGCTACCAAAGTTCAATATTCTGGTCTCTGACATACTGGGTGCAGCACATTATGGGTGCTCAAATGTGAAATATAGTCACAACAAAACTCTTCATTCATCCTCTAATAACCAAAGATTTTTGTTTTCGTAAGTTCTTGCCTAATTTCTAGAGTATAGGCATGCACGGTCTGTCCTAGATCAGGGTACTTTAAAATGAAGTTCATCGGGTCTACATGGCCTCAACTGCCATGTTTATACCTCACACTCTATAGAACTCCATGTCCATCTTCTGCATCTACATTAATCAATGCAGTTGACAGCTTCAACTCAAAATCTTAAACAGTAAATACAAAAGGAACAATCTCTTAAAAGATGTCTTAAAAGACATCCCTGCATGTCCACAATCTATTCTAACTTCCTTCTGCCCAAGTCCTAGTGAGCTTGGGGTGTATAATTTCTGTAATCCAGTATAGCTGAGGACAGAAAACTGATCTTACACATGGCCTCAATATCACTAGTGAACAGCATGAGATATTTAACAGCGGCTGTGTGGTAAAATTATCAAAGCACTAAGAATCTAAACATCTAATTGTAAAAACTCACCTGCTTAGGTTGATCTACAAAAGCAGAAAGTCCTGGCTTCACAGATTCAAAAATTTCCCCTTCCAGAATTGGAAGCTGTCCTATTTTGTCCATGGAACAAAACAGAAGAGATGGCTAATTACCAAAAGTTAGGCTTCTTTTGATAGTGGGCTCTGTATCATATGACCCACTAGATCAACCTGCTATTCCTCCAAGCCATCCTGAGTAATCCCATCTGTGAGGAGTGGCTTGCAGGAGTACTGGGTAGGGGGACAGAAGACGATGGGCAATTCTTAAGAGTGCCTCTGGCATTTCTCAGGGTGGATACCTAGCTCCTACTGCTGACCCTAGGCTCTAAATGTAACTTGAGAACACTGGAAATTCAGAAAAAGTTAATCTTCAAGGTCCCTTCATCTCCTTCTCCAAGGATGGCAATGTTCCTCTCTCATGACCACTTCCAATATTCTCAATATTCTGGACCCTGGAACATCAACTAACTTTAGAGAAAAGGACAAATTACAGCTATACTTCTTGGACATATGGGTTTCAGACTACAGGCAACCCAGATCTAATTTCACATTGAATTAAACCATATGTTCAATTATAGCCCAAAATCTTCTCTGAGGAAAGACATTCAGTAGCTGTAAGTTACCATAATTCATATCGCATTCTCTCAGCGCATTTGTTTCTGGAAGGAGATGCTGAACTGTGGATTAATAGGCACTGGTGAGGGTACCAGTTACACTTACCTGGTATTTTCTGCACAAAGGTGTAAACATGAATTCGTGTTCCAGTGCTCCCTGCATCGAACATAATTCCATACAATGTGCTGGCACTGACATTGATGGGGCACATGGAAGACAGGAAGACACCCTCAAACCAAGTCTGCTGTTCTCTGTGGAAGACAGTGCTACAAACACAGGAGGCCACCAGCATGAAAAAGGCTGCCCCCCAGGTAGTGGCCATTCTCTTCCCAAGGTGTGGTGAGTCTAGGCTTTTGCTGCAGAAGCAGTGCTGTTCATACACCTGCAGTGGCTTATAGGACAAAGAAACACATGGTTAGACCAACTGGTCTTTTGTTTATACCTGTAAAGGAAGAAACACCTACTACAGAAATCCCAGCCCTTCCCCCAAGGTGCTCCTTCTCTATTTTTCCTAACCAGCATAACAAGCTAGACCAGGGTAACATAGGCTCCTAGCACCTTTTTCTGAAGAGTATCTTGTTGCAAAAGGAGACCAGGGTAACATAGGCTCCTAGCACCTTTTTCTGAAGAGTATCTTGTTGCAAAAGGAAAATGGGATTTAAAATATATTTCCCCCTTCTCTGCTTTCAGTTGTACGGTGGATCTCTCATACTCAAGGCCTTCTCTGCCACCCTGCTCTTACTGTTGAGTCTAACTGACTTTTCTATTTTGACAATTTTGTCTTTAGATCATATACTAACCTTCTCTCCCTCCCTCTTTCCCTTTCTTTTGTCTTTTCTGGTTGATATAAGATGTTTCAATTTCTGAATTAAAGTCATAAAGTTACAAAGAAGTTATAACGTCACTAGCGTTGGGGTATCTACAGCCTTCAAAACTCAGGCTATTGGACCGCTACCTGTGACCACTAATATTGCCAGTGGCTTGTACATACAATCACATTTTAGGGAAATCAGCTTAACTTAAAAACACTTAAACAGACCATTGCAGGATTTTTGTTGTTTTTGTTTGTTTGTTTGTTTATTTAAGTAATCTCTACACTGAACATGGTGTTTGAACTCACAACCCACAGATCAAGAGTCGCATGCTCCTCCAACTGAGCCAGCCAGGCTCCCGGACCATTATGGTTTTAAAAAACATCCTTCACAGGTTTCAGGCCATGTTATCCCCGTAAAGAACTTAAGACAGATGGGGGCACTTGGCTGGCTCAGTCAGTTAAGCATCCGACTCTTGATTTCAGCTCAGGTCATGATCTCAGGGTTGTGAGACTGGATCCAACATCAGGCCCCACGTCTGGTGTGGAGCCTGCTTGGGATTCTTTCCCTCCCCCGTACCCCCTCTTTAAAAAAAAAAAAAGGATGCCTAGGTGGTTCAGTTGGTTAAGTGTCTGCCTTTGGCTCAGGTCACAATCCCAGGGTTCTGGGATCAAGTCCCACATCAGGCTCCTTGCTCAGCAGGAGCCTCCTTCTCCCTCTGCCTGCAGCTCCCCCTGCTTGTGTTCTCTCTATATATGTCTAACAAATAAATAAGATCTTTAAAAAAAAAAAAAAAGACAAAAACAACAACCACCATCACCCAAAAAAACACGTAAGGCAGATGGGCAAATTAAGCCAGAGAGGTTCACTGACTTGCTGAAAGTCATAATGCAGGTCAATGGTGAAATCTTGATTAGAAATCAGTCCTCAGTCTTGCCAACCTTTCTTTTTTCTCTGATTCCAAAAGCCTCCCTTATGGCAAGTTACTGCCTATATTTCTTTTGTCTTAGCAAAGACAAAAATCTTAGCACTAGTGCTCAGTTTTATTTTAGATCTGTGTATTATAGTTTGGATAAAAATGATGCTGAAAACCTAGAGTAGGGTTACATGAAAAAATGTCTCCTGGATGAGCTATATTGTCTTTGCTCTCGGCTTCATTTTCTCCCGGTATTCATAAAGAATGCCATGACAATCCTCTAACATTTAAGGCTTCCTTAATTGCCCTTTATGTACTTTGCTCAAAACAGTTTTGAGTGTCCTATTCCAGCTTTCATCTCTGGACTTCTCCCTATGTAAGTAGCTGGTTAATCAAGATCTAATTCCAAAGTTCCCATTGTCCAGTCCCTTTATTTCTAACAGAATAACTGAGTATATCTGGAGTATAGATTGAGGATTCTCAGTCATTCTCAAGTTTGTTGACCTCCTAGGGTTCATTTTATCAAAATGTCTCTCTTCCCAAAGGTGACATTTTATATAAAATAATGTAAATTGAAGTTAACTACATTTGGAGTTTGAACTATTTAAAATAACCACAGTAGTTCTGAGGTACTGAAAAGGCAGAGTTAGAATTATCAGTTTGAAGACAATTCAAGGCTGGACTTCTACTTGATAGTTAAGAATAAAGGTTTTGGCTAGAGAGAAAAAACAACCAAAAACCTTTTAAGCGTCTCAAAGGAAACTTTATCCCAGGTAAACAACACTGAAATAGGGCAACTGCTTGGCCAGATTCATACTCACATCTTAAATCACTCCCTTTGGCAGATTCTCTTACAGCAAACAGGCTAGTCATGTAGATCAATCTAAATAACTGAAAACAAAAACAACCCTTTCAGATTCTCTGCGTATTAATGGACCCTTGCCTTGTCCATTATCCAACCCTTGGTCCCTTTTCTCCCTCGGGAAGAACAGTTAGGGGCTTTCCAGTCACCAGCCTTCCTCTACCTCTGTGACTAATTCCACAGAAGCTTCTCAGGGCTCACTCATATTTTCTCTATTATTGTGGTTTCTGAAAAACCTCTCCAGCTTCCATTTCCATTAAGCAAACATTTGTTTTCATTCCAAAAGAGATTTCAAGGGGAAAAAAATGCATGCTAGGTATCTGTTTTCATGGCGTGAAAAAGTGCAGAGTCATACCAGGTGCTCAGTGTAAATAAACAGTAGATTCTAGAGAAAGCAAAGGATGAAAACATCCAATAACCCCTTCTGCTTTCAATCCCTACCTTCTAACACCATTTCCAATCTCATTTTTCTTTAAGATTCACTAAGAATGGTACTAGAAAGGCTTACAATTTAGAGTATATAGAATGGCATCCTTTTTCATGTGACCCCAGCCTGCAAAGCTTGCTCACTTTGTTAGTCTTTGCTCAAATGTCTTCTTGAGACTTTCACTGTCTATCCTATTTAAAACTGCAACCCACCTGGCCACATGCACATCTTCTACCTTCCTTCCCTGTTTATTTTTTTTTATTTTTTTTTTAAAGATTTTATTTATTTATTTGACAGAGTGAGAGAGCACAAGCAAGGGGAACAGCAGAGGGAGAGGGAGAAGCAGACTCCCCGCGAAGCAGGGAGCCCAATGCGGGGCTCGATCCCAGGACCCTGGGATCATGACCTGAGCCAAACACAGGCGCTTAACCATCTGAGCCACCCAGGCACCCCCCTATTTATTTTTTTCCATAGCACTTTCCATCTTCTGTATAATTTATAACTTCAATGTTTTTGTTTTTTTGTTTCAGATTCCCTGCTCCCTGCCATCCTCATGTGAGCTATCTATGGGTGGGAATTTTTGTTTGTTGTATACACTGATGTGTTCCTGGCATTGGAACAGTGCTAGCACACAGTAGGTGTTGAATAAATACTCTGAAAGGATGAACAGTGATCCAGTAACTTGGGCACTGGATCCTATCCATTTTTTTTTTTTTTTGAAGATTTTATTTGAGAGAGAGAGACAGCACAAGAGGGGGGAGGGTCAGAGGGAGAAGCAGACTCCCTGCTAAGCAGGGAGCCCAATGTGGGACTCAATCCCGAGACTCCAGGGTCATGACCTGAGCCGAAGGCAGTCGCTTAACCAACTGAGCCACCCAGGCGCCCTGGATCCTATCCATTTAACAAGAATATAATAGCTGACTTCTTTCCAACAGGAGATTAATTACCTACCCATTGGAAGATCACGATTCCAAACTTCCAAGGCAGGATTATTTCTCCAATGTGTCAATTATATGTTTCATATGCTACTCAAAATAATGCAGCTAGTCAAGTTTACTTTCTGTAGACTGGGGGGTATACACATCAGTATACTGAAATTCACTCCTCCTTTCAGAACTGGTCTTCTCAACATCTCTTGCTCACTTTTGCCTATTCACCCCAACAAAGCCCCCTCTTCAATTTTTTTGAGACCTTGGTGCCAGCTAGTGTTTGTCACTGTTCTCATTTCCTTCTAAGGTCTTTTCAATATATCTTTGTCTCTATAGTAAACACTAATACTCCCTAGGCAGCCTCCCTAGAGCTTCACACTCCAGATTCCCTTTTTCCAGGTCACCCAGAGACAGATCACAATCCCACAGAACCTGGGCCCCATTTGGGTGCTCACCTGCTCATGTCTGCCTGTTCCCCATGAATCCTTGCTGTCACTGTTGGTTGCCTTTTGCTCTTTGCTCCTATTTCAGCCCTTCTGAATCAAGCTAGCTTCATGAACCACATTCACCTTTGTGCTCATTTGTAACTAACTACGTGGCATTTTGTTAACTCATTCTCTTCTTGACTCTTCACTCCTCCCTTAGCCACTTTTTTTTCTGGGTACACATGACTGTCTGGTTCATCTACTTTTATGATAGTTAAGTGCCAACTAGTAGCATTATTGCTTGTAGGGCCGAAGTTGCCCAGGAACTGAATTCTGTGTTTTTACACAGGACACTGATAACCTACTGTTTTTATATTATTAAATAATGTTATATTTACAATTATGAAATATGTAACTATGTAATAATGTTATTAATTCCTTACTATTTCATGTTTTTACAACCTCAGCCCAAGAGTAGGAAAGTTAATTGCACTCCTTGATGGCTTCTATCCTTGTGATGAATTTAGAAAGTTGGGTATTAAATTGTCTAATTAACAAGCATTCACTGAATGTCTAATGTACACCAGACACTGTGCTAGTTTCTAGATACAAAAGAGGAATCAGATACAGGTCCAGCTCTTGCGGCTTCAGCTTACTAGAAGAAACAGACAAGTAAACCAACAGCTATAATGTACATACTGTGGTAAGTTCTCTTATATGAATATGCAGAATATTATAGGAATGGACCTAAGAGGAAAGTAACTCATCTCAGAAGGGGAAGCATGGAGGTGGGAAGGGAGAGGGAGGCTCCTTACGGGAGAAGAGGCCTAAGCTGGGTCCTAAATCAGAGGTAGGAATTAACCTGGTGAAGTGACACAAGGAAAACCCTGAGAACTTTGAGTATCAAATAGATGGAGTACAGAGAACCAGAATAGAGCACAAGTGTGAGAAAGGACCTGTAGGTACTGAATCAGATTTCAAAAAGAGTGGACTTGTTTTCGTTAAACGGTTCCACGGCGACACCTGTTATTTAAATTTTTCTATTCCCTCCCAAAACAAATATTGGTATCACCGACCTGAATAAAATGACACAGTATTTCTCAACAGTTTAAAATAATGGAATGGGGGACAGGTGACTAGAAAATTCCACCAGAAAGCCTTAGGGAAGCTCCCACTGCCAATTCTCCTGAGCTCCACAGAGAAGCTAGTTTTAACGAAGTTAAAAATTAAACATAATGCAAGTTTAAAATGTAACCAGAATGAAAATTTTAAACAATAAGCTGAACTACAGAAATGTAGCTAAACCACCCAGAACATAAGTTAGTCAAGCAAAGCAAAACCACGACTAGTCTAATTAGTTAAGTCTGAAATAGATTCAGCACAGTGAGCAATGCCTCATTGGGAATATAAGTTGGGGCCTACATACCCAATACTAGGGGCCAGGGCCCTGGAACACTTTGCTATCTGAAGGTTGTCTAAGGTGAGGGTATATGATATCTTTTGTACTCCCAAACTCAAGTACTGAGCCTGGAACATGTTAGACATCAGTAAATCTCTCATGAATAGACTTGGTACAATTGAGCTAATAATATCTGCAGACAAAAGCATCAGGGAAGGGGGTACCACCTTTCCCAACGTCTTACCATGGCAATGTATCACATACCCAGCTCCCCATTCCCCTCCAAACCAGCTCATGGATAGGAGTGCTACTCCACGAATCCTATTTATTCACATATTCATTCATTTAGCCATTCCAGAAATTAGCAGTTGCCCAGTGCTACCTACAAGTATGGCATGCAAAGATGAATCATCTTAGATCTGCCCTTTAAGAGACTACAGTAAACAGGAAAAGAAAGAATACATGTCCATTAACAACCTCTGTAGAGTTAAAATGTGACAAGTAGCTCAGTTACCATGATCTGAGAATTCAAAGCAGGGAGAGATTATGTCCAGCTGGAATAACTGAGAAGGCTTTGTGAAAGAAGTGGCATTTGAAGAAGGTCCTGAGAAGGGGTATTAAGACAGGAGAGGAGTGCTTTTCAGGAAACAATGATTCAAGACATGGAGGTAGAAAAGGGATGGAGGCCCTTCGGGAATAGTGAACACATCAGTTTGACTGTGACAGGAAATAAAGTTGGAAAGGCAAAGTCAGGTCAGACAGTACAGCACACCAAATACTCAGCTGAGTTTAGACTAAACTCTGCAGGGAATGGGAAGCCACTGAAGATTTTGAGCAAGGGAGTGTCACAAATATGAATCTGGCCGTTAGATGTAAGACTGAAGTGGGGAGCCTTACTAGGCTCCATTCCAGTGTCCAATTCTACAAACATTCACTGATGCCCACTAAGTGCTAGGTGCTCGAGAAGTAAATGTGAATAAACAGATGTTTTTATTCAAGATGCTCAGTCTGGCAGAGGTGACAGACATAGACACAAATAACCACACCTTCTTAAGTTAATCATAAAAACACTAGAGGAGCCCAAAGCCTTAAAGGACTAACTCTACCTACAGGATTAGGAAAGGCATCATGAGATAACATTTGAACTGATCATGAAAAATGAATAGAACTACATAAATAATGCAGACATGTGGATAAAGACCAGAGGGACTATAAAAAGATGAAAAGAAATAGGTATATTATGGTTTTTTTTTTAAGATTTTATTTATTTATTTGACAGAGTGAGAGAGCACAAGCAAGGGGAACAGCAGAGGGAGAGGGAGAAGCAGACTCCCCGCGAAGCAGGGAGCCCAATGCGGGGCTCGATCCCAGGACCCTGGGATCATGACCTGAGCCAAACACAGGCGCTTAACCATCTGAGCCACCCAGGCACCCCCCTATTTATTTTTTTCCATAGCACTTTCCATCTTCTGTATAATTTATAACTTCAATGTTTTTGTTTTTTTGTTTCAGATTCCCTGCTCCCTGCCATCCTCATGTGAGCTATCTATGGGTGGGAATTTTTGTTTGTTGTATACACTGATGTGTTCCTGGCATTGGAACAGTGCTAGCACACAGTAGGTGTTGAATAAATACTCTGAAAGGATGAACAGTGATCCAGTAACTTGGGCACTGGATCCTATCCATTTTTTTTTTTTT